TCGATAATCTACTTTCCTAAAGTGAAAATCTATCTACTTTAAAATAGACTCTTTCAAATGAATATTTCCATTTTTATGATACAAATTTCCCGTTTTCTATGATAATCTACTTCACAAAATTAGGTAATATTTCCCCCAAAATTCGAAAATCTACTTCCCCGGCCCTCCTATCGTCAGCATAACTCCTCTTAGCAACCACCTCCATTCTATCAGCTACTTCCTCAGTCTTAGCAAGGATCTTTTCCCAACTTGCTCCAGTTTGTCAACAACAGGGCTCCTGCTTCATATTTTCGTCCCTAGAGAACTCGTTTCCTTATGGATTGCAATCGCTTCATTCACCTTGACTATGCAGCCAGAGCAATACCAACAACAGCCATCATGCTTTACGGCAGATATTAACTTCTAAACGTTGCATTAGTCAGGCCTGTATCCTCCATATCCGTCTCCCTGCAGTAATCACATATCAAACTCATGGTTGTTGTTGTTGTTGTGGGGAATTGCGAACTGTGATCTACACCTATTTCAAAAAATAAAGAGAAAGTGTAGCTACTCTCTGTTGCCTATAGAGTTGTGTCTCTGCGACTACATTTCTTATCTCCTCTGATATTGGTGTATTGTGGCACAGTTTCAGTCAGAAAGCACAATCAAAATAAAATTTAAAGTCTCTGTGGCACCTATGACACGACTTCGTTTCAGCTGGCACGGTGCCTTTCCAGCTTGCTTGCTAGTGGGCTCACTTTAAGTTATTTACAACTTCGCGGTGGTCACTGATGACACTATGAACTATCACTGTGTACACTGTATCTCCCTGTGGTGGTGTATTATAAACAGATTCAGTCCTTGAGAAAGCACACAAACAAAATAAAATTTAAAGTCTCTGTGGCACCTATGACACGAATAGGCTGCCAGTTGTCCTAACCAGCTGAATAATATGTATTCCTTTAAGTAATTTATAGTCTCTTCTGCATTCACTGATGACAACTATGAACTGATTTAACTGAAGGCACAGTACTGCACCCTGGTTGGCCTTTATCACAGCCGTGACCACAACACCCTAAAAAATAAAATAAAATAAAAGCTTTGTCATGTGGCAGTGATTGTGTGGTTATAGGCCTGTGACCTGGCTGTACCTCCAACTCGGTGGAAATTGAGTTTTCAAAAAAACAATCGTGTCTAGCATTAAAGTCCTACATCGATTTACACTTTCACATCACTAAGACGATCTTGAGATCTTATGTAATCACTGTCCAATTTCTGCGCTCTACATCAAAGGCGAATGCGAACCTTTGTTACAGAGACGCAACGACCCACCCGCCCACAGTAGCGCTAGGTTACCCTCAGTGTGTGTATAGTACTTACTCCTCAGGTTAATAAATGTTGAGTTAAGTGTAAATTATTGTGCGTGTCGATTCCGTCATTTTATTTGGAATATTCGTGAGATTTTATTGTCCAGTCGTCTCATCTAGTACAGTGACCCAATTTAGTATGGGTGTTGAATGCCGTTCGAGTGTGTGTGTGTGTGTGTGTGTGTAATGTATGATGAATTCTACATATACCACTACAACAAGACAATCACAGCACTCAGCACCACACCTCGACACTGTAAGAGCCACCACACACTGACACCGTACCCACCCGCTTCAGTGTGGCCTCTTGGGTTTAAGGGAAGAATATTCAAGTCCCAATTATATGAGGTTAAGTGAGGTGATATACTACCTAAGCACTGAACTACTTACCTGGAAACCCATTAATGGCCTCTACAACAACAACACTACGTCACGTCCGCCAGTCTCAGGTCATTATTCTTCACTACCCAGGTTCACTAATACTTTAGTAGATCAGGTGAGAAAGGTGAAACACTAAACATCGTCAAAGCTTAAAATTTATAGTTTACTTAAAGCTGTGTCTCTTAGAATCCGGGAAAAAAATCACAAGAAAAAAAGTCACGGAAAAAAGGCACAAAAAAAAAATAGCCTAACCTAACGTAACCTAACCTACGTGCACTGTTGGCAAGTACTGGGCATGCACCGGCTTCTGAAGTACCTGAACCTGCTCCAGTGTTGGTCAAGTCTGGTCTGAAGAGCTTACACTCGGTGCCGTCACAACAATTTCTGGCAGCTTAGTAGGAGACGTAAGCCAATCATGTCAAACAAATTAGACCCTGCAGGGTGCACTTGTGATCACCTCGACAGCCACACTTTTCTGAACAACGAAACTGCATCAACATAGGAAACACCGAAAAAATAAGGTTGTCATTTTTAGTTTTAGGATTTTTAGATGGAGGTAAGGTTTAATCACCAAACGTAACCTACTGTATTACACTATAAACACCTTGGATGGGCAGGAACCTTGGTTGTTAGGTAAAGTTTCTTATTCCTGATTAGATATGATTCTTTTTTTTTTTACTTTTTATTTTATATATTTTTTTTTACAGAGATTAGTCCACCCGGGCACAGGTCACTGACCCTCATCGGGGCCTGAGGGCAAAAATGTAATAATTATAATAATAATGATGATAACAATAACAATAATAATATTAATAGTTCATAGTAAATAAAATTTATAAAAAAATACAAAGTTAAAAATAAAATAATAATAATAATAATAATAATAATAATAATAATAATAAGGAATAAAAAAAGAAAAAATGATCAAGTGAGAAACTATATACTGTACAGTAGTATGTTGGGTTGTCCTCAAGTATTAAAGAAATTGTACCTGGATACATTATGTAGAGTATAATGTTTAGGCTTATTTTTTTATTTTTGCAATCTTCTACTGCTTTCATGCCAGATTTTGTAATGAGAATGGCAGTCAGTAATTGTAGATCCATCTTATTTCTAATTATCAAAAAAAATTTTATCTCACGATTCTTTGTAGTTTTCGGTTTAATATAAGAAGGAAAAGATTAATATCAGCTCAAGTAAATGCCTCAATCTCGTACTGTATCATGTACAAGTGCATATGCAGTGATAATGGTCATTTAGCAGCGATGATATCTATGAGAGAGTGGCTTCTCTTCCCTCAAAAACACTCCCCTGAATGTTTACTTAAATGTATACCAAGACTGAACAGCCCACCACCAGCCTACTGTACACCGTTTGTATAGGCTTATGTGTACAATATACTCTGTAATTGTGTGTACCTGTTGTGCTTTCTCTAAATGCATTTAGTCAATATAACGATGTATGGCTATTTTTACTGAATAAATAAATAATTATCTAACTACAGGTACTGTATTGAATTATATTTGTTTAAACACAGTACAGTATTTTAGTATCATTTTATAACAAATACTAAGTATTGTAGCCTATTTCATTTATGCTTACGCCTATACAATTTTGTCTCGAGCTAGTTTACTACATTTTATCGACTTGTAATTATGATGACCAGTGTTTTATTATTTTGTTTAAAGTCTATAAGCTTGATGGGAGGATTTATATTTTATATCTAGTGAGGCTCAACAGTACACACATCTTTGTTTAATCATGGTATTTTGCGTTAGTTTTTTTGCACGTTTATACTTGTTCCACATTTTCCTGTTCTCATTTTTTAATGCTAAGATATAATTTGGTGACTCTTGAAGTACAGTAAAGGATTATGTTTATATGATCTCTAGTGTCATGTGCTGGTGTTGACATACATTAATACACCATCACCTCTTGTAGCCTTGTCCTTTCTGAACAGTAGGTGATACCCTGATGAATAAAATTCACACTGCGACACATCTTCTTGGCCATGACTCACCAATTCCAATGATATCTGGTCGTTCTGTGTCTGCTTATGCACTCAATACATCATTCTTATTTAAGATTTTTGGCATTCATGTACCAATACTTGAATGGCCCAGTTTCTAGTACAGTCTCTCCTCGACTTACGATGGGGTTCCGTCCCGACGACCAGGTCATAAGTCGAAAAGCGAAAAATAATACATAGAAATTCTAAAATGGGTGTCTCGTTTTCTTCTCAGCACCACGAGAACTCTCACTTTTACGCTTGCCAGCCATTTTAAAGGGAATTACAAACAAAAATTTTGTCAGCACACAGCGCGATCACTAATGTCGGTACTAGAAAATACGTAATTTGAAAAATATACGACCCGCGGCGATCGTATGTCGATAGAGTACCTGTACAGTATATCGTTAATTTTGAAGACTGTGAGTCGTGAGGATTAATAGAATCACTCATGTTTTGCAGTTTTGTTGTTGTTGTTGTTTAGCATGCATTATGTTAACATTATTTAGAGTTAGTTTTCCTCTTCCCTCTACTGCCTCTGTTCTATTGTTTGTTCTGGTGAAATTATGTTATTACTTCCAACAAATTGAACACTTTCAGACAAACTTCCAGAGTACGATCACATAACTTTGATAGAATTACTATATTATTCAGAATTAAAAGATCAATTGCACTGGATTTCAGTAAGAACAAAGTATGAAATAGACACAGTAACATTCTAAACTATCTTTATTAATAATAACCAACCATACCAGGTGCACACAACCTGTGTTATACTGTACAAGACATCACATGTATAGCAGTTTCTGTAACAAACTTGTACAGCCATGGAATAGCATTCAAGAATATGACTGCCAGCTATTCTGACTGTATGCACTACATCATAAATTTATATCCCACTAGATTGGAAGAGAAATAACTCCAGTTCTCTACAGTGAGGCATACAATTGCTGATCTAACTGGGAATCCCATAAAAGCAGAAAGGAATAAAACTGGTGTAGCAAATCACATCACAGTTGCTGGAATGTAGGGCTATGAGAAGTTTTGCATGCATGCATTCCTGGAAGCTCCTTAAGTGAATTTAGTGTATATATTACATGCACTATCTTTACAAGTCACTGAGTTACACAGGAGGTTACTCTCATGAGACACCAATTTTTTCATTCTGTCATTGCTGTCATTATCAATCAACAACCAGTTTTATTCCTGAAGCCTTTTTGTTTCACTCATAATTGTCAGTGTAACTAATTGTAATCTTCTTCATAAGCTTACAATTATTAATGCTATCATCATAAAGCACTGTCCAAATATTATGACAGAACATGGATATGAGATTCACTGATGCACAGTATCATGATTCAAATAAATAAGAGAATACTTCACCTAATACAAGCTCAGTCAATATTAAAAAAAAATAAAGAGCTTAATTTAATATATTCACTTATTTATGATGCATTTCCATGCCAATATGCTAGTCAGAAATAATATTGAAGCTCAAAGAATACCAGGATTATTTGGCTAGTCATTACTACTGATAACCAATAGATGGTGGTCATAGCCAACTTCTAGTAATTACTGAGAATCTAACAAGTAAAACCTATAAAAATAACCAATGAAAATTTAAGATAAAAAGAAATAATGAAATAACAGTGCTTCTTAATATTTCAGCAGGTAATGTTTTTATAACAAAGTATATAATACTCGTATATATAGTCTAACTGTTTGAGGACTTAAGGTCATTAGGCAGCTTTCTGCTTATGGTTATTTTAGTTAGATATCATTCATGACATAATTTCTTTGGACCATACCCAAATTACTAATTCTCTCTCACTCTTGTAAGACCTTTCTTGCTACGGCACAGGATGGATGAAATTATAAGCAACTGACTTTTCCTCATTTGGCATGTTGCCCTTGACTCCTGCCACCCTGCAGCATTTGGGGAGAGGGCTTGCAAATGTGAAAAATGTGAGATTTACTACATTTAGTAAATTCCTAAAGTAGTACAGAACTGGTAGATCCACAAATGTTATTTGGTTGTGAAAGATTGACAGCAGGGTGTAAAAATCACCATTTGTAAGAAATTAAGAAAGAATAATAAAATCTGAGTAATTATACCCTCTAATATTGCACATACATGTTCACTGTCACTGAGAATCGTTCACTTTCCCTTGTGAAAACTTTTAATGATTCAACTAAATTATCAGTTTGTTTTGACAATCCTAAAAATTTCTATTGGATTCTTTTTAATAAGTGCATTAAAAATCTTTCAATTCATGGGTCATTGATAAGTCACCAGAAATAAACATTAAAAAACAATACAATATTCCAATAAGTTACCTGTTTATAAAATACACCAAAATAAATGTCATTTAAAAATTATTTACCACTTCTAATATAGTAAGTACAGTTTCAGGAAGTGCAAATATAACACCTGATGGAAATCTGAACAAAAATCTATACAATACTGTACAGTACCTTTATTCTACAGTATTTGGGTCTCATTATTTTGTGAAAAAAGACTACAACTAATGTACATTGTCCATAAATTTTTGCAATATTGAACAACAAAACAAATACTGTATGCCTAAAACTCATGTAAGTTCATTGAACAAAACTGGGTACAAATTTTATAAATTTCTGATGTTACTTGCAGTCTCAAGAGCTAACAAAAATGAGGCAAAACAATTAAATGCTTAAATACAAGTCCAGTCAGTCTTGATAGCCCATTCTTCATGCAAGTGAAATCTTAAGACCAGGCATTATCAAATACGGTACTGTATTGTGTTCTTTTTCTTGTACATGACTGAAAAATAAACATTTTTGTACCTGATATTATTAATAAAAGTAACTAACTGAAATTGTTCTACACTTATCATGCATAATGGATTTAAAGAATAGAGTACAGGATACTGTAACACTATTGTCTGTACAATGTATTGTGCAAAATCCTTCACAGTAATACAGAAACAAATAAATTGGTTATTTCTCTATACTGTACAGTACATACTGTACAGGATGCTCATATATTGTGATTGGTATGGCATCATGTTTGGAGCCTATCATTCATGGTACAAAAGGATGCCGAATTCAAGACAATTTCTCTTTTAAATTAGAACATGTTTGATAAATATTATATAATAAAGATAAAAGTACAGTACAGTAATACTGAACTCGAGAACAAGTTTTAAGTGCAGAAATCCATCCCATGTAAATTTTATCATGTGTAGAATCAAAGAATACCAACAGGTGTGAAATATAGTATCGAAAATAATTAAAGCAAATTTCAAACAATGTAAGATGCTCCAAGAATGAAAAACTTAATATATGAGGCATTTCATTTTCTTTTCCACTCTTCATTCTTATAAAAAGAAAGAGAGCTTATCAAATAAGTTCTCAACACTATGGTACAAGTTAACAATGTACGTAGTCCAACAAGTAAGGTCATAATCAACTAAAAATAATTCCATAACATGATTTGAAAAGACTTTACTTCTCAAGAATATTTATTTATTTAGAGTACAAGTGTACTCTATATACTGTAGTTTTAAAGAACCAATATCATCCATGATCCAATTAACTTGAACAAATTACTTACGATAGCACTGACAGAATTATACAAATTACAGTGATTTTTTGTGACATTGATATACTGTACCCTGAAAATTATGTCCAACTGTTCTGAAGTTATAGTTTACAGATTTAACTAGATTTGAATGCTTGCTAACTTTTGGCAGAATGTTCATCTAATTATATAGTAGTTACATTTTGTTAGCTATTCCAAATGAATGCAGGATGGCATAAAAAAATCTTACACAACTGCAATTCTGTCTTGGGGACAAATACCCACATATTTGCTCAGAACATACTGTATCTGATATATTAACGAGTTTCAATTTGCTTGTACTATGAAATATGTGAAAGAATTAGGGCATGTGCACAATCTACATACTTGTATAATGAGAAAATATGAAAGTTATTTGAAAGCAACAAAAAATTGAAGTAACAAAATTTGTAGTCTTTAAAGGATTTTGTGAAAATTAATTAACATGGGAAAATATCATCAAAAAGAGGTGATTTCCTATGACAGTGGGTGTCCAATACAAATATTTATACCACCTACATCATAAGAATATGTACCATGTACAAGTGAAGTGCCTCAGCTTTAACAAATGTATGAAGTTGTGTAATTCCATATTGTAGTGGCATCCTTGAAGCATAAGATGGGTATAGACAATTTGGCGGTTTGGGGTGAGAGACCAGCTCTACATAATTATAGAAAATATCTCCACCATCTTTGCCCAACACAGTATCTTAAGTTGCGAACACAGACTGATACCTCCAGCACCAAAGTGTCTTCATAATCATTTATATGTGTCTGAGGTTCTTAGCTAATTGCAATATGCATTACTCTATTTGTCACTAAAAACTTCTTAATACTGTACTCAGAAAAGTTGTTAACAGAAGCAAGAAATTGTTGCCTGCTCAGCCGTACAGTATTAAAATTTATTTTTTAAATGTTATTATCCATTACTGTAACTGGGTAACAGTAAGGAGGCTTAACACATGCAATAATAATCCAATATTTCTTGGTAAAATGAACAAGTATAGATTGTTTTTAATCATGCAAATTTTCATATGTGAAATATTTTGATACAGTACATGTACTGTACTTCTTAAAACTTGAGCTGAAAATAACTATGTAATTTGAAGAAATTTTCAATATAAATTTAATTTATAAAGATGATTTAGAGTAAAATTAGGAGAAAGGATCCTGCATGTGCACACTCCTTGATCTACCACAAGTACCCCAGCATTCACTTTGACTGAAGCTTAGTTGAGCACAAGAATGATTCAGCAGAAATGGTACCAGTGGCATGCTACTTTTAGGCACTTAGTTTTCATATACAACTAGATTCTAAATATTTTTCTATATACATAAAACAACCTTGTTTGTATATTTCCAAACAAAAGCTTGGAATGAGGACAAATTTGACTGTATCACTTCTAAAATACTCGTTTAGAAAGTAAACTATCACATGTGTAAAACACTTGTGTTTTCTATAAGCTGCAAGCTTCATTCAATTCTATTTTGAGTTATTGTCCCTAAAATTTTATATCATGTTTTGTAAACATTAATCTAACAATATGAAAAACAATGCAAGCAAGTAATACAGTATACGTTTTTTTTTCATGAAATACAATCTGATATTAAGCCTGCAACAAATCTGTTCTATATCCCATAGATTTTGTAGCTATTAACACAATATGATGGCACACTGTCCCCCTAGCGAGGCAAAGAGCAGGAGTGTCATAACAATCCCTCTTTAAGCATTAAAGAATGACAAATATGGCTACAGCATTTATTATTCAAATTACTTGACATTCATACTTCTTTTATCAATCATCATTATCAAAGACTTCTTTTAAAATAGTATTAATAAGTTTTCATCTGTATATATTTATATAAGTCCATCAGGATAAAAGCATATTCATAAATACAGATGAAAATAATAAAATAGTAATATTTTCTCCTTAGACTTTGATTGCCACATCCTCTTCATCAGCAAGACTTACATGGCCATGGACAACAACTCTAACTCCTGTCAAGTCACTTGGGTCTTCAGCCAAACCACGGAAAGTAACCTGCTGCCCTGAGCTGGCTCGGCGCTGGACCCGGTTGTGTGGCAAGAATCCCTGGTGGTGGTAGCCCAGGTGGCCCAGGAATATGTTGGTAACCTGAGCTGGGAGGAGCCGGTGTTGATACAAACCTGCCCATGGCCGAGAAGGTATGTATGATCCTGACTGAGATCTCTTGTGCCCTGTGGATAAAACCTTCATTAGATTTGAATAAATATGTTCATGCTTAGTTATGATGAATTTGAGGGAAGGAGAGTGAATATGCAAGAAAAGACAAAATTATATGAACTGGGTGTGAAATATAAAGGTATATAAAAAGGATAAATACACTATATTCTCAATTTAACGAACTACCTGTAATTCGAGCCACCACCTTTCCGTAAAATCTAAATTTCCGCTAAATTGAATTTCCGTTATTTTTGCTAGATTTAGTGAACTAGTTTGCTAAATTGAGCAGGATTCCGTAAAATTCTGCGCCAAATGCGATGCTTGGCGCGTGGGATTTGCTTACATCTGCTCAGTCTGTATCCTGCCATCACCTCGTGTTGTTCACTGCCACCTCTTAAAAAAATTTGTATCTACTCAAAATTATAAGTTGCAAAATAACTTCCACATAGCTCACAGCATGTACTGTGTGTGTGTGTGTTTCAACTCATAACTTTGAATATCAACACATAGGCTGAGTGCCAACCAAGAGGTAGGAGTAAGGTAGTGGAAGGATAACCCATCTTCTTAAGAACTGCAAGGTAGCAGCCATTCCCAAGATTGACATTTTTATTAAATTGCATATACTTGTACATAAAATCAGCACAGTATTTTACTTTCCTGAACTATAATGAAAATATGTGAATACTTTGACCAACTTACAGGAGCCATGAGAAGGTAATGGTGGCCGATTGATGAGCGATCCATTACGCCTGTGATGATAGTGATGGTGAGCTGTGGTTATGGTGGGTGTCACACCAGTGGCTGAGGTAGACTGAGAAGTTCCCGATGGTGGCACCTGCTGAGACCCCTGGAGCCTGGGAGCCAAACACTCTCTTCTAACTCATCAGAGGGTTCATCTACATCTTTATCAACAGACATAAGAGAATTGACAATGTCTCCCACTGTCATGGTTCCCTCCATGTCAAGCTTGTACTTCCAGCGAATCAAGAGCCAGTCAAATACAAATATTGCAGCTGAGATTATCTTAATAGCAGTGCAGATTCCCACATATCTGTAAAGATTATTTCTCCAGTTTATTTTTTCATTGCAGTGCATTATTTACAATATTCTGAAACTCTATACTATATATACCCTGTTCTCTTTTGCCAAATACAATATGTATTACATTACATGTATATTATAGAGCCTTAATATCAGGTTGGTTTGTATTGAAAATTCTGTAGTAATTTATGAAATATATTTATAATGTTTTAATAAAATGTGCTTAGGAGAATTACAATTTGAGTGTTTTAACTTAGGCAAGCTAGTGGCTATACGTATATACACTCCTGTCAGATATGAACAAACTTTCTGTTGTATAGATTTGTACTGGAAATAATAATTCATAAGGCATATTGATAGTGGTGAGAAGAAATATTAGTTTGTTCAACAGTTTATCACTTCTGTAAGCTCAGTGTGTTGTTTGACTCGTTGTCCGGTAAACATTGTCAATCGTCCATACTGAGTCTAGTCAATAGTGGACAATGTTCCCAAATATCCGAAAAAGAAATCCGTTATGACAAGCCCATTACCGAGATGATTTACTGTGTATAACAGTCATTTGAAAGTGAAGTTGATATTAAAATGAATTCTCTTCAGTCGAATTCACCGATAACTTAAGGGTTCTGAATACTGTACTGTACCGTACTCCTCTAACCTAAATCAGTACTGTATGTAAAACTCTCTGATACATCCAGGAGTGTGCCATCTCAACAAACCTGAATCTAAACTCTTCAATATCATATATGAGACAGCGTCCTCCTTTTTCTCCACACGAACTCTTCCATAGGAGACATCGGAGTCAATTACAGACCCAAACATGATGGGTGCTGGGATGTAAGCAATCAGACGGAAGATCACAAACTGTACACCCAGGGCAAATGACCTCTCCTCTTCATCCACTGATCTGAAAAACATATTACATACTTAAATACTGAACCAGAATTCCTACAAGTTGTTCTGAAAACTTGAAATATATTTTCACACAATACCTAAACAAAAAGTAGAAGTAGACATTGCTCTGGATAATAATTTTTTTTCTTCTGATATTTGTCTACTGATCATCATCATCTACAGTAATTCCTGTTATGACATAATCTAGCTTTTACTATTAAGTTGCAAGATTTAAAAAGGTAAAAATAAATTAATGAATATATAGGGCACAGTAGTAACACAAAAGGGTAAATATGAGTGAAATAATGGCCAGGGAAAGACAGAAGAAGGATGGGAGAGTGTTGACTGATGGGAGTCAAGTTAGATGGATAGGTTTGTGATCTAAATCAGAGACAATCTTTAGGATAATCTTACACATCTCGGTAAATGTCAAGAAAAATCAAATTTACTTATAAATCATATTTCTACTCTGGATAAAATCAATTTTAATCACATTAAACTTACTGTAGTTAAATCCTTCATTATTTGTTTGAGTTATAGACTTTATAACTCCCAAACACAAGGACAGATTCTTAGATGTCTCTCTCCCATGATGGTTGAGGACATTATAAGCAAGGATTCACCATCTATGTTAATAACAACAACTTCCTAGCCACAAACCTTAGCACAATCATGAGGAGTGGCATCTGACTTATAGCAACAACAGTGCACATAAAGAAGAGGAGGATCATAAAGGGCATGATAGTGTTGCAGGGAATATAGCAAGGCCCTGCAGTAGCTACAGGAACAACCGTCACTTCAGAAAACCCTCTCGCAGTCACTGAAGACGACGAGGTTAAGAAATGGAGATGAATGATTTGCCTCCCCTAGTATACCTGAAAATTAATGGTCTTGGTACTTTTATTGTGAAATATTTCTTTGCTACACAATGACAACAAGTTTTATAAGTATCAAGTTAATTTTAACTTATTAATTTGGTGTAAATGCTATGCCTAATCCTTGAGAATGCAAAGAAAAGCAATGTGGGCAATATCTTTTACTGTAAATAAACATAAAAATACATAAAGCATTATCAACCCTTAAACAACAGGAGCTTTTTTATGTCGACTATCTGCTCTGATGGGGAAAGATGAGGGTTTAATAAAAATTAATAAACTTATAAAATTTCTTATGAAAATGACAAGTTTTATTCATTGAATACAATGGTATAAATCAAACTCCCTTTATGCTAATTATTACACAATGATAAATAAAATAAAACCCAGAATTATTTTGATTTTATATTTATGGAGACGAGGCTTGCTTGGGCTGGGCTTAGAGGAATGTTGATTTGAATCACGATAACGCTGTCGGTACTTATCCCTGTCCATATATTCTAGTAATGATCAGCCTCTTATGGTGTACAATTCATCATAAATAACATAACTTCAATTATAGAAAAAATTCATTTGTAATTTGAAATTAACCTGAGAATAAAAGGATAATATGTATCAAAAGTGGTGCCCCTTCTCCGTCCTCTCTTGCCCCTTCCTTCCCATGACATTGAATGAAAAATTTCAATATGGCAGAAACTATTTGTCATGATGAGAAAATAAACAGGGTATCATGATGAAAATAATTATAACTTTTACCATTTTCATTTTATAAAAATGAAGACTGAGGCTTGATAGGGCTGTGATTTTGAGTTGTGAGAATTACTTTAAGTAAAACATTTACTGTACAACATGCCCTTCAAATTGGATTAGCTCAAAATGACCGCGAATCGCCATATCCGCGAATGACATTTTTACTTGTGTACAGTGAACCCTCACTTTACGCGGTCAATTGAACCCACGGCGGCCCGCGTAAAGTGAGAAACGCAGAAAGTGAACAACATAACATACTGTATTGGATTAATTGAAATAGAGACCGCCGCACCCCAAACTCCACTTTTTCAGAAACACAGACGCTAGGTAAAAATAACTTCTTAATTTTATGATGGTATGCACACACAATTAATAATTAAGAGAAATATCAATAATATTAGGAACACTTACATTAGTAGAAAAGGATACAACAATGGGCTGGTTGGTTCGAGGCAGAGGGCAGATTATTGGCCCTCACCTGTATCAATTGTATCACTATCCACCACAGAGGCTTGCAGGGCCTCTTTGTCAAACCCCCAAAGTCCATATAAGTCCATATCCTCACTATCATCACATTATCACTGATCGGGCGCCGTGGCGGGGTGAAGAACCGGTAATGTGATGATCAAGTACCTGTATGCACCGTGTCGCTCACAGAAGAGGGTCAACACCGCGAGTGAGCATTCCGTAGTCCGCAGGGTACGCCAGAACGGAAACGCTATGGACTAAAGCAGGGTGACTGTACGAAATGTATATTCCTTGTGTTTGCCCTAAGGACAATTATTTCTTTTACCTGCATTGTATATAGGTGTGTGTGTGTGTGTGTGTGTAGACACAAAAATATAAAACATATACAATAATAAAAAATCGTCTCACAAATATTAAGAAAAAAATTATTAAAAACGTTGAGTCTACCCTCAAGTCAACTCGGTGCTTTGTTATTAATAAAGCATGGAGTGGAATTGATGGCGCTTAACGCACACACACACATATATATACTCCCCGACTTACGACCTACTGATATCTTCAACCAGCATATTATGACTCCGCCCGAAATAACAAAATTTGGTCAAATTACTTTGAGTCCCAAAGTCAGTACACAGACAAAATTTTCATATGTAATTCACTTTAAAATGGCGGCAAGCTTAAAAGTGAGTGTTTTTTGGTGCTGAGAAGAAAAATAGACACCCATTTATTCTTAGTGTTATTAAGCATTCGACTTATGACCATTTCAACTTACACTTGCTGTCAGTCCCCTAACTGAGTACTGCACACATATAGAGGTAGTCCCACTACACTAACTCAATCACGCCAAATCGCACTTACGACCTGCTCTGACCGGATGACCGTCGGGTCATATGACCGCCAAGAATCGTGACCAAATTTCAAATGACGCTGCATATTTCA